GTGTATCATATCTTTCAGATTTTGTTCTTTGAAATCGACTGAATTATTCGCGATGTAGAAACATATATCGATAGTTTCTTGTAGTTTCCTCCATGAAACTCCTTGCGGCAGTTGTTTGTGTTCATCAAGATCACTCTCGGTCTCAGTGATTGTCGGTGATGAGATGAGAAGATTAATATCAAATGGAATAATCTTCTCTTGAAATTTTGGATTAATACGTCTGACACGGTCGAATAGTTTTGTTGTGTAGATTTCAGCAAATGTATCCATGGGTGAAAGCTGATGTATTTGACTTTTGGTCGTCGGTCGAATCGGACAATATATGTTCTCCAGATTTGGACATGAACGCAGCAGTTTCTCGAGCAAAACTTTGCCTGGAAATGTGGTCGAGCCAAAAACTAAGACAGTTTTTCCATCGTAAAACTCGCTTATACTTGCCGACATGTTGAACTGTGATGGATACAATGAAATCTGAAGAAAAACAAAGTAAAATGGCGGCCGAACAAGATTTGACGAGAAATCAACGATGATGAGAATACTAGATGCCACAAATTCTTTGCGATTCCAGAACTTCTATCTTTGCATCTTCGGGTATTTTCTGCTTCGATTTCCTATCGCCACCCCCACAACTGTTTCTACGCTCGTCATGTTTTCCTGTTCTATGACAAGCCTTCGCGTGTGAAAGACAGTATTGTATTTATTTTCTCCACCATTACTCTCTCATTTGTTCCTTCTCAATTCTAAACTCAGTCTGATTCGCAAATACGTGAAGTTGATGTAACCATACGCGTCATAGAAGAAACGAGAAAAAGAAAAGGACGTACGTAAAACAATCCGCTTTCTCGACTGATGGTTCCGCTGTGTATTTACTTTGAAAATATTCTTCTCCGAGCATAAGTAAAGAGAAGATAAGGTAATTTTAGCAGTCGAACAAGCAACGATAAAAAGTTCGACAGTGAATTTCAGATGTACTGATATGTCACATTTATCTTTTATAACACGCGCAGATGATAATTAGGGATAAGTATGTTATCTATTCAATTTGTTTACGTTAGTTTGTATACACAACGTCATGCGATGATCTTTGCTTAGCATTTCAACGAATGCGTCTTTCCTGTCAACACGTTTTGTCTTCCATGAGGTTAACATATGAAATCAATTTTCTTTTATACTTTTCGAAAGAGATGTAAAAGCATTTCTGCCAGAGTTGAGCAAGTCAGGCATTTTGACAAATCAAGTCAAAATTAGTAACGTGAAGTCTAGTTGGCTTTGATCATAAACCAATATAAGTTACTTTTCTAGCATTATAATGGTACAGATGTTCAAAATACTCATTAAAGCCACTTCTTTTATGGTTTTCACAGTATTTGAATTTGTGATCTAGTTTTAAATCAAATCAAGTCCAGTAAAAAATAATTTGACTTTCCCATGTCTGGTTTCTATATATTTGTGATATAAAATCAAAAATTTAGTTTTCTACTTCGTCATCTCCTTCTGGATCTGCATCAATATCTTCACCGCATTCTAAATCACTTGGTTGTTTTGTTTTTGATTTGCGTTCACCTTTACCTTTTCTTTCATCAAGTTTCAATTCATTCAGTTCCTTCCAAACATCTTCTTCGCGAATTCCACTCATCATTTTGCTCATAAAATTATCATCATTATTCGTTTCTCGGAGAAATTTCGACCAAACAATTGGATAGAGATCAGCAATATCTTCTCGTGTTATCGTTCTTTTCTTCTCACCTTCAGCTACCCAGTTTATGAATTGTCCCGCTAGCAATGTCCATTGAGTAAGGATTTCATCGGAGAAACCCAACCATTTTTGTATCGCTTTCAAGCGACCAGTTACCCTGCGAGTAGTTTCAGCCACATCCATTTTTCGTTCTTTCTCCCAGTGTTGTAACATCGGACGAACCTTTTCTCGGATAGCACGAAGGATCACGTACCAAATCGTTTTCTTTTTTAATAAACCAATCACCTGATCGTCTTTATTCAGGAAGTAAAGGACACTACCTGAAGAAGAAAAAGAGTAATGACGAAATGGAAATCATTTGAAAGACAGACCTTCGCATTCTTGTCGATATTTGATGGATGTGAGGTATTCATTAAGAAGATGAGATTGATTTTCAATTATATCATACTCAGTTGTTGATAAATGCAAACAGCGAGCAATTTCAATTGCATAATCGGGTGGTAATGCACATAGGTTGGTGACAACAGCATCAAAGTCTTGTGGAACTTGTGAAAAAGTAATGAATTTCAATTCGGAACTATTATCCATATCTTTTAAATACGTTAAGTCAACCACATGTTGATGAGCATAGTTCAGAATCTCAAAAACAGCTGTATAACGTGTTAATGATAGGAAATTCAATAATTTCGATCCTTTATCCGGCATTCGGGCCAAAGTATCAAGAATAGTATGACAAAATGAACTTGCATAGTTATATGTTGTGTCATTTCCATACATCGCAATATCGGAATGACTACGGAAACATAAATGAACATTCTTCGAGCCAGCGATTAACATAAGACGGTTGTCAGGTGGAAGTGCGATGCACGACAGATGACATGCTTCACCTACGAATATCAGTAGAAGAAAATCATGGAAGTTTTGTCTATTTTACCATTGACCTTTTTTGTGCAAATAATTTGTGACGCTGTACGAGGGTTTTCAAGAAAATATCGAAGCCACGCTTGATTATCGTCTTCCCGATCGTCATCATCACTAAACAAAAAGAAGATTCTTCGTTTGTTCATATTGAAAAATACGTCAGATATACCCAAGACCACCGCTGAATTTTCGTAATGCAAACACAACGAAATCTAATCGTGGTTGTGCTTCATCTTTCAATCGGCATTCCATTAGAGTGCATCCTCGTGGCAAACGTTGTCTCAATTGTGCGTCTCGATCGTATAATTTATCATCCGGACCTCGGCAAGATATTCGAGCGTCAATCAGTTCGCCCTCGACAATCTTTGGTCCTGAAAATTTCATGTGAACAACTTTGTAGAAATATGTCGGTGTTGTTTACCTAATATCGACGACGGAATCGTTTTCGATGGTGCTTTGATAGTTTTTCCTCGTGCTCGCAACCATTGCATATAATTATTGACTGCTGGTGTCGTTCGTGCGAGTTCCCGATGAGAGTTTGCCACACGTTCATTCAATAATTCTAACCAATGTTCAGTTGGACTACTTCGTTTACTTTGAATATTCGCTTTCAAATAATCTGCGATAGTATCCCAAGCGAGAACATCGAAACTCAATGGATTATCTCTGCTCTGTGCCATAATCAAATACAAACCAATGATAGAGTACGCTAGATTTTTATCGCAAGGTTATTACATCATCACGTGAAATATCTGAAAGGATGTGTATTAACATGATGCAATGGGAATCAATAACAAGCTTTCATCATTTTGATTCATGGTTGATTAATTAAACAAGATAGAGAAGAAGAAAAGCATTTCAAAAACACTTTGGATGTTTTGAATGAACTGTCGAGTGACGTCTCACTTTCATATCTAACAATGACGAGAAATAAATAATATTATCCTTGGTTAGGATCAGCTTCTAAATATACGAATACATATCTAACTAGGTAGTTTTGACTTTGTGTACAGAATGAAAGAGATAAGTTATTATTAAATGAGAAAGAATCTTTATAATTCAATAAATAATTTTTCCATGCTACGGAGTACTTCGTTATCTACTCAAACATGAGTCAATTATCTTAGAGAACTACTGCAAAATCCGTTCCGATTAGTACTAATTGTGTCATACTGAGATCGAGATTACACAAAAAAGAAAACTTGACGAAAGATATTTTTACAATTTCTCTGTTTATTTATTTATTTATTTATCATCGATATCTAATTGGACGTTATTTTACCAATCGTCGAACAATAAAGAAATGTTTGAATGAATATTTTTGAAATTCGATTTACTTTATACAGTCGTTTTAAATAATATCTGTCCTAGGATATTCGCGATGAGCACGAAACTCGTATTAATAGTGAATATGGGATCGTATAAAATCAATGGAACGAATTCTTGATTTTGAATAGGAAAAAATTGGATGGTATTCATTTTAAACAGTCACTAGCTTTTATTATACATTCAATATCACAGCAAGAGAGATCGAACGCGATCTTTGTTCAGTAGGCAAATGCATGGCAACACTTCATTTCATATTCCTTTTATGTATCGTCACGCAACTATAAGATGGTCCTTTTCTTCGTCTAGGAATACCATATAAAAATCTAGGTTTATGTGGATTTATTACTGCGTGTAGTCATTTGCTTTATCTAAATATATCGTCTACAAAATAATTGTGACGAGTGCTGAGCTCGAGACCCTCGAATTGAACGTGAGTCCGCTTGATACATTTCTGGGTACATCCTTCTTGTTTATTCGGAAACAAGATTAGCTTTATGATCATTCAAACTAAGAAAATATGGCGTTAATCGAGTTATGATCTCTAGGTTTCTTTCGTGAGCCCCTGAGCGATAATTCCAGTCTGGAAAAATGACTCGGAAAGAACTGGAAATCTTGAAAGAAATCAGTATTCTAGACAGGAATTGATTAGTCCGAATACTTGTCGACTGAGCGCGCTACGAAGCTAATCGTTTTCTCGTCCGATGCAGTGACCATGATGTTAATTTTATCTTTTTTCTAAATCTATAATTGATGATGAAGATCGATTATCTTGTCTGATAACGCCGTGAACAAATTACTATACATTAGAAAAAATCAGCCAATCAATTTGCACACATCATAAAAGACCGAAGTAACAATTGGCCGAAGCCGAAGCAAATCGCATTACAGAAGATGATGTATGAATGCAATTCAAGTTCACCTGACCTTATTTCGATGAAATAGTACAAAAAAGTACAGCTTTTCGTTTACGAAGTTAGATCTGATAAGAGAAGAAATCTGTCTGCTGGTTTTCCAAAACCGCAACAATAGTATTCTATACTACGAGTCGTGATTTATGATGAATAACGAAGCAGCAATACCCGAGACTTTAGAATATGTCACGGAAAATGAAACTGAACCAGTCGTTGTTCAACAACATCGCTTGAGTTCAATCATGCCAATTGTAGTCTTTTCATATATCGGCGTTTTGATTCGTCTTGGTCTCGCATTCCTTGGAAACAATCAAGTACCTATGAATGCGGCTTTTTGGCCGAATTTCGTCGGATGTTTTATCATGGGTTTTGTAGTCGAACAGAAAATACACATTCAAAACCAGTATGTCATCCAGTGAGGATGTTTGACCGTCTAATCATTCCCATTTAGTTTCTCACAGCTCTATATCGGTTTAACTACTGGTTTATGTGGATCAATTACGACATTTTCTGGTCTAATGTACAATTCGTGCGTAGCATTATTTGGTCCATCGAATGATCTTACTTATCCTATATCGAACTTTTTAACCGTGTTAATTGCTGCTCTTTCAGCATCATTCGTCGGATTTACTGTCGGACGTCATATAAGTGCATTTCTCCTTCCACCCTCACCGGAATTAACAAAACGAGTTCGATATTTCAATAGTCACGTACGAATCTGGCTTTTTCCAATTCTTACATTGTTAAGCATTCCACTATTAATTCTTCTCGCTGTTCTCTTACCTGTTAGTAAATATACTTATTTTATTTATTCGGTCATATTCGCACCATTCGGTTCACTGACTCGCTATGCATTATCAGTTCTATTTAATTTCAACCCGAATTTTCCTCTTGGCACATTAATTGCTAATATTCTCGGTTCATATATTTACTTCGGCATGGTTGCAATTAATCAATATGTTTATTCGTTATCTCCTCTCTCGAAACACGTTGTCACCAGTGTAATTCAAGGTTATAGCGGATGTCTAACAACGATTTCGACTTTTATACTTGAACTAGACACAATAAAGAAACGGAAATATGTTTATCTTTATTTTACAATGAGTGTGTTGCTTGTTCAACTAGTTTTTGTAATTCTAGGTGATCTTTTTTCGTTTATTTGTTCACCAGTGTCCTAATTCACATGTAGTATCATCCTTATATCGAACGGCAGGTCAAATTACTTTAGAGCTTTCAATAAAACATCCAATATTCTCTCGGTGATGGATTTAACTGTCTATTGTACTTTTGCTCTACAGGATGCTAACATCTAGAAAGTAATCTCCCGCATAAAACCGAAAAAGAAATCGTCATATGAGACTTTCTGTTGACGTCATTTCAACTTGGAAATGATATTAGATAAAGTACCATTGTCAATCGTGAAATTTATTAGAATAATCTCCTTTATTAAAGTCTATTTTTGGCAGTAAATTCAATCAATCTAATGAGATAGTTACTCTCTAGACTCGGATTACTAGAATAGCACAATAACCGATGGATAAAATAGTCTTAATAAATAAAAATATTCTTGATAATCTCAATAAATATTGATAAGAATAATCAAAAGGTCGCATCAGAATGTTCTTTTAGACATGATAGAGCAAAGAACAGGTGGATAAATCATTAAATACGATTAAAAAAAGAAGTTCTCTTTTTCACAACTAGTACAAGCGTCACTGCTGCTAGTTTATCGAGACCAGCGACAGAAACTGATTTGTTTTTCTATATTTATCTGGTCAAGACTATTTTGATCACAAAAGAAAAGTTTTATTTTCACTGGTTATTGTTTTCCTACGCTATATATAGCCAACATTGCATTTTCATAATGATTTGATAAAAAATATTGCCCTATCTGCTATAAATATACACCAAATGTATCTATGAATCTGATGCCAATTTCTATTCTTGACATTTGGCACTGATTTTTTTACTGCCTTGTTTCTCATATCGATATTAATACTAAGAATAGACACCGACTGAAAGAGAAAACAAGTTTAATAAAACAACCTAGACATCCTTAAGAAAACTTTCTTTGTTAGGACATTCTCATGAATAGAATCAAAGACAATGGCGATCTGATAGAAAGTACTCGAAGTTTTCCTGGACAAAAGAACCTAATGACATTGTCTATTACTTTGTATTTGCTTCATACATCGCAACATATGTACTGATGTTAATGATTCGTTTTTTTTTGTTGTCAAGTCATATGCATCAACGACTTATATCGTTTCATTGCCTTTATTTGACATATATATTCACATTTGATTGACAAAACAAAAATCGTTGTAGCCCGTGCAATAGCCACGTACAAAGAATTATTATTTTCTTTCACTTTCTCAATCAACTGTCAAATCAATGTGTCGTGCTAACGATAGTAACAATAATAATCTGGCAATGGTGCATTTTTTTCTCTTTGCCTGACAAAAAAAAGCAACACAAAAGAAACGACCTGGTGATTCTAGTTTGATTGATAGAGTTGTTTATTATTTACATTTCGGAGAACGACTGAATGCAAATGACAATGAGAAAGCAAGGGCAAAACAAGGATATTTCGCAAATTATTGTAACAACAGTGTCTTTCGCGCTGGTCCCTTGATGATCTATAGAGTGTGCTACTTTGTTGTTGTTCGAGAAGGAAAGAAAAATAAGAAGCTCTAACGGAACTATCGATATGTTGATCCGAACAAAAAAACATATGATTCGTTATGCACGACATCAGTAACAACAACAACATACTTCATCGACTTATTAGAGAAGAGAGAAGAAAACTCTAGTAGATGCCTCGAGGATGAAATGCACGATTGCATAGATCCACATAGGATATTAGTAGTGTCTTTATTGACAAACATGCATACATAGAAATGTGCGTACTGTTTGTTATGTCTGTGCAAAACATTAGAGGTTTATAGGTTACTTTTGAGTTTTTATGTGCCCATGCATACATTTTATCTTTAATACTATTTGAGGGTATCAGCAAACAGATTGAATTTCGTTACCATAACGGCAAAATATTGACACTTAGACATAATCAATCAAATGCGTGGCTGTTATGTTCGTGACGAGGGTCGCAAACGATTGTTAACGTACAAAGTGCAGCTAGACGACTATATATATATATTTGAAGAAAATTTTTTTTTCGTCCACTTTGATATTCATAACATCTGATCTTCAATTCAATATTTTATGCATTAACAACACATTCGGTACGTAAAACGATTAGTTCTTTCTTTTATGTGAAGGCTCTAATTGAGATGAGGATATTTATTGAATTGCTCATTGATGACATTTGATGCGATGTTATTACGATCATGGTTGTTGTTGTTATTGTGGTCCGTTAGTGTTGAAAAACACAAGTACAATTATAGACGATGTATACTGTGCTAGCTTGATTTCTCTTCTCAATCTCAATTTCTTTTTTTTCTCGAGACGCTTTTCGTTGCTTGCTTTTACCTCACAAAAAATATATCTCGCGAGTGATAAGAATAACTAACAAACACGTGTAATGTAGACGTTATACTACGCGCACTATAATTTGTTGGAAATAGGGAGAAAAAAAAGACGAAGATGATGCTGCTGAGGCGAAAGAATACGAAAAGTTGACGAACAGCTGTCGACGCCCTTTCGTCGCCATAAACAAGTTCTTCTCTAGTTTTACCCCAGTAGAAATTCATTAAAAAGATTTCTAGACTATCCATAGAAAATAAAAACACCGTGATTACTGATAAAAATGGAAAGCAACTCATTCTCCCCTTCTCTACCCTCTCTCTTATTTCTCACCCCACCTTGAAGTATTAAAAATACTAATGAAACGGTATAAATCTATATACATACATTAATGTGTGCTTGATTACTCAGCAGGCATCTTTATTTATTTGATTAAATCAATTCGACGTCTCGAATAGAAATAATACGGAAAACAAACTTAATTAGAAGATTTTGTTTGCTAGCAATTTTGTCAGTTAAGACTGGATTCTCTGTTTTACTAGACAGAAAAATATTTGCTAGTATATGAGGATTGATTTGCCAGTCTGCCGTTTCGTACGTGTTTATAATCAAAACATCCTATTCGTTGTTTTCGATGTGGTTTCATTGCAATGCTTACGATTTCAGTTGATATTCTTGACTTTACCGAAAAAAGAAAAAGCAGAAGGCAAAAAAGTGCTGACAGTGAGATTAATTCTAGCCATAATAAATTCGTGTACACAGATGTTTTCGTTACTCAGCGCACAGTGACCTATTAGGAGACATTGGTTTGTGTGAGAAATGTGATTATATAAAAATAAAATGGAGATAAATTCGGTATGTTAATAATAGACAAATGTAGACATGTGTGTGCAATTGTGAGTATATCCGAACGGATTGAATATCCTTTAGAACAAAAATCCTCAATCATGCTCGTTCCTCATCAAACAATGCCCTTAATATATGAAAAACAATGAAAGGGAAATTTTAGCTCTACTTATTCTCCTTCATGTTCTATTCCCTCTTGTCATACAATTCAGTCCTGGATAGAAGCATAGTATACAGCTGATCGAATGCAAATAGTTGAATGTTCTTGGCGATTTCTTTTTCTTTATTCCTAGCAAATATACGGCTGACGTCAGCTTAGTTTTTTTTTCTGTTTTCTCTTCTTCTCTCCTTCGCCGTCTATTTCTCTGGTTTGTTTATCGTCAAGTGCCCCCGAAGTTTTATTCTTTGTCTTCAGCCCGAATCATCCGGGCAAATAAAAGAGACGGATGAGGAGAGAAAGAGAGAAAAAGCGAATGGGGTAAAAAAACAGCTGAGATCGGAGAGAGAGAAAAGTGAAACACATATGATAGCTCGGGTAAGAAAAAGAGAAAATGAGAGAGCACCATACGGTCCTGTTTGTCTTCTCGTCGTCAGTGGTAGATGTGGTGTTGGTAGTGGTTGTGCATGCTCGCGATGGGAATAGAAGAAGGGTGACATTGACAGGGATAAAAAAGCTAAATAGTATAGGCATCAAAACTTGAATCCTATGCTACGAAAAAAGATTAAAGGTAACTCGTCATATAGTCGTTTTGTTTTTTTTTATCTTACTATTTTATGTAAATGACAATGTCTATCATCAATAAGAAATAATACCTATAATAAGACGGATAGAAAATGAACAAAAGACACGATAGGAATGCGAAACATGCTTCGCATACCAAGATAGTCGAACAATTGATCATAATTTTCGGCAAATCTTCGAATATGACTGGTTTACATAAGAACCAATAACAAAAAGTTGAACGCATGTTTATTTTCGAAAGATTATTTTAGACGTTCTATTGTTTCAATTTGATCTTGTTTCAGATATGAGTTACGGGCTAACAGATGCCTGTGAAACTGCTAGTGATAATATTACTAGTACAGACGGTGAATATCATCAATATCTTAGTCATTACAATACTCCGGTTCTTCTACACGACATACGCAGTCTACACACACAACGCGAGGGTGGCGGAGAAAGGGTGCGCACATCATGTAGAACCGTCAATACTGCTAGTCGTTTCCACCCTCAATCAAGTCCATATTCCAATGGTCATCATCCTTCATCAATACTCAATGGTCATAATAGATTAGATGATACTGAAGAACAATTACAGCTACAACAGCAACAGATAGATAGCGATTATGGAGAATTGGCGCCTGATCGACCTGAATTATTGATGTGGGGACTTACAAAGTACTTTTTATATTTATATATTTAATTTTTCTTTTACAAAAATACTTGAAATGTTTATAGAAGTGGTAAAACATCGATTATAAAGCTTATTTTTGACAAAATGACAGCCGGTGAAACACTTCAACTTCCAGAAACAAAAATGATTTTACGGCATGGTAAATATACTTTGGACTCTGTTGAAAAAATTCAAACTCTTTTGTAACCTAGAACTCTCATGTGGAATTCATGTTAAATTCAAAATTTGTGATGTACCCGGTCCGAAAACAGCGTCTCTGCTCGATTTTGATACGTATTCAGCTGAATGCACTACGATCGTGTTCGTTCTTGATGCAACAGTACGTCGAATTCATTCGCATTCGAACTTGATTTTCAACAAAATGATCTTCTTTTTTTCTGTCTTTCTAGGAAGATTGTTCAGATTCGATTAATTTATTGGTTAGTTCTGTGCAACAATTGTACTCACAGGGTCGTAATATTCGATTCGAAGTACTCATTCACAAAGTAAACACGCATAAGAATACGCGATCTCGACAAAGTAAACAATCGTCTAATTTAAGATCGATGGCGTTCATGAACCCGACCGTCTCGAACGCTACTCAAGTATTCAACAGAAAGTAACTGTTATGTTACACGAATGTTCGATCGAAGAACCACTTATCAAGTAAATATTTTATTGTATATTTTTTTTCGAGTGATTTATATTCTAATTCTATTATTGTTGTTGCTTTTTAGTTTTTATTTGACAAGTATTTATGATCATTCAATTCACGAAGCATTCAGTAAAATCGTTCAGAATCAAATGCGACAGCTACGTGCGCTTGAAAATATGCTTGATTTGGTTACAGCGGTATGCAAGAAAACATGTCCAATACGCATTAATTAGCGCATTGCCTTTTCTTTCTCATGAATTTAGAGTACTCAATTAGATAAGATCTTCGTATGTGATATTTCTAATAAGATATTTCTGGCATCGGATACAAAACCAGTTGAAAGTCAAATATCGGAACTGTGTTGCGATGTAGTCGATGTTTACAAAGATATTTCGTCTATTTATGGGTAAGCAGATGACTTTTTACTTGTGGGCGACCGGTCCATGTACTTGGTCTTGTTTTTTTTCTTAAGGCAAAATAGTAGTTCGGTGCTTGATTCAATGTCAAATTGTACTATTGAACTTTCAATAGGACTTGTTCTATATTTGAAAGACATTAATTCGACAACTGCACTGATATGTATTTTAAAGAGAGAATCGAGAATAAACGAAGGTAACGACATTGACCGAGCGCGTGAAAACGTCCATCGATGTTTGTCGTTCTTTGTTTTAGCTTTGATGGAAGTAAATTTAAATGTTCTTAAACAAAATATTCAAGAATTGTTCCTTGCTAATTCAAATTATTCACCACGACAACAAATATATCGATCTATGGAATGATTTGATAGGTGTTTCTTTTACGTTTATTTTCTTTGTTTTTTTTTTCTCTTAATATATGTATTGTGCATTTTGTTGTTGTTGACTCTAAGCGTAGAAGTGAATTTGTTGAAGATCGAAGTCAAATATAGTTTTTAGTCAGTAGATGAACGCTTTCAACATGCCTTTGTGTATCTCGAGATGTTGATGTCATCTCTATCTTTGAGTTTCATGCCATTTTCAAAGAAACAAATTACGAGACGAATTTTCTTTCCTGTTAGCCATATTTATCTATCTTATCACAATAATGATAGTTTTATTCGCATAGTTAGCATTATTTTCTTCTTCTTCTTCTTCTTTTGATGGGTATGTGTGGTCTCTCGTGGAATCTTCTAGTCTACTTCTATTTTGTCTGTAGGTCAATTTTCTTCGACTAATACCTCGTCGATAGGATAACATAGAAAAAAAAAGATATGTTATATTCTTGCGTGATTAGATTAGTTCTTTTGATTAAGTAGTTTCTTGTTTTGTGTTTCCTGCTAAATTTCCGACCTTGTGTTCTTCTTTTCGTTCCTATCCAGAGAGAAAAAAAAATCTATTGAGTTACACAAAACAGTTGCAGATACTTGATGCGCGCGTTTACATTTGTTCTTCATGGCCATTTCTTTCTCGTGTTTTTCGTGAGTGTATGTGTATATACGGATTGTTTTGTGTAATGCGCTCGAATATTATTATTATTATTATTATTCCCATTTTCGATACATCTTTTTTTTTGTTTTCTTTTTCTTCTCAAATGAATGACTTTATTTTTATAATAACTACTACTACTACTACTGCGTTTTGTTTTCTCTTCTTTAATCGATGTTGTTGTTGTTGTTGTTATTGTTGTGTGTGTATATCTAGGTTCAGAAACGATAGGAAATGTTGAGTGTTAAACGATGCAGCGTGCTTAGAAGAGGGATTCTTTCTTTCTTTCTTTTTGAAATTAAAAATAAAGAAGAGAAAATTGTGAAAATCTATTGTCCGCCCTTTTCAAGTCCTTCGTTTCCTAGTTACACGTGGAAACATCGAAATCTGAAAATAAGCTGTGATGATATTATCAAGCTTGAAAAAGATTCGTCCTACTCGATGAAAGAAACGCTTCGATTAATAAATAATTAAATGAAAGACATTTTTGGTGACATATGCCATATTGCCTATTAATAATCTTCGTCGGGCCAAGTCGTAAAAATTTCAGGAGCTTTTTCGATATTTATTGATGATAATAAATCAAAAGTTTTTAATGAAGAGAGGGGGGGGGGCAGACAATCTCTTCACTCTTTTCTCTTTCGCTGTGTGTACATCAAGAGAGAGAGAGAGATAGATGAAAGGAAATAAATAATAATTACCTACTGGTCCACGGTCAGAGTGTACTTTAGAATGAATGAATCGTTCAAATCGACAGATAATGAAATATGTGATTGCCAGTACGAGAGGACATCTATCGACGTGTATTCCATCTTGGTTGCATAACATATTTACATGAATCATTGATCGATGAATGAAGATCGAATCGAAAAAAAACCTTTGCGCATTTAGTTTTCATCTTGTATTGATAATGATTATTGCATGTCGTCTCAATTAGACGAGCATTATATTCGAACAAATGTTGAGTGGTCTCAACTGCCAGCTGATGTTAAACAAGTATGGTTCGAATTGATCGCACAGTTGTGATTTGATTTGTTTCGTTCGTAGAAATGCGGTTGGAATACGGAGAAGGAATATGATAAGGCAGTTTTTGCCTTTTCAATCAAACATCAACTTCGATATAAAGGAAATCTCGGTATGTCGATTAGACATTCGAATATTGTCGATTTTAACGGATAATATTTAGTTCGAAAAGTTCATAAAGATTCTCGAAAGTACTACGATGAACTTTTACGTTACAGTCGCGAGCATTTAATGATATTCGTAAGTAGCACTTACCTATTCTTGCAGATATCATCTATATATGCTTTAGCCGTATCATCTGTCTGAGATCTATGTCAAAGGTTTACGTATGACATCGTTTTCTTACTATATTGATATTATTAGTGATTTAATTCTTCAAGAGAAATCTTATGATACATTGCCGAATTTTACAGGTAAAGTTGACGTGTGCACATTTGATCAAATGTAGTTTTGTTTAGCTGCGGATTGTCTTCGTTTGCTTGGTATCGGTCGAAATCAATACATTGAATTGATCAATCAATCTCGAACGATTCTACAAGCAGCAAAGAAGAAAATGTTCTTAAACTTATCTAATTGGAAAACTCCTGCTTCTATCCGTCATCTGTTACCTTCCCAACCTGTCGATTCTGTTCGTATTCAGCCATGGTGGGTGATAAGCTTAGGTTGCGTAACCGATGACGATGTCAAACAGTGCACTAGCGAAGAGAAACTAATCATTGACTATCTCATCGACGAACGATCATCAAAATTAGCTGGCGAATTAAACTACGATGCTGTGCATTCCCTCTACCGAAAAGGTTTAATCTATCTGGATGTACCAGTTTCTGAAGATGATTTTATACAAGTTCCACCATTAGGTTCAGGTTTTGTTATGAATCGAATTGTCGGTGATTATTTTGAGGTATTACTTTACAAATTGTTTGTTTCGACCGATGAACATACGAATGTCGGCGAGTTATCTCGAATATTAACATTAGATATTGAGTTAGTTAAACAAACGATGTCCATGTTTTTACGCTTGGGATTCGCTCGAAAGAAGAATCTTGATAATGATTATGGCATTATTCATACGTCATGGAAGCATTTCTCCACCACATCAGGTTTACAATCGCCACCGCCGCCGAAGGAATTAAAATTGACGTCACCAGTTCTAGATAAAAGAGTATCTGAATGGAAAAAAGATTTAGAATTAGATACATCATTTATCGAAGATGATACAACTTCAATCAACTTCAATGATGAAGTGGTACGCTTTTCGGATTGTCTGCATTCTTTGTAAATTGATTTTTCTTATTTAGAAATCTTTATCCTCACCGACAAGTGCTACAACACCTGATCATCTGTCGGCGTCAATGATAAGTTCAACATTGAAGCAAAAACGTATTGGATTTTTATTTGATTCATCGTTAACTGCATTCTTAATGATGGGAAATCTTTCCCCAAATCTAAAAACTCACGCTGTAACCATGTTCGAAGTTGGTAAACTAGCTGATGAAATTCTCGGATCATTTCTCCAAGAATTAGAAAGAATATCTCCCATATCGCAATCGTCAATGAAGTCACCCGATGATGAAAATCAGGGTGAGGGTGAAGCCGATCGATATTTTCTCCACGCACGTGTTCTCTATCAAACAATATCTTTTCTACGTTTAAATAACGATCTCTTCGATGAAGAGAATGGTGGTCTTGGAGTTGATTTACTTCGTTATGAAAGTTTGTCGAGTCTTGATTCCACCACTCGCCAGCGTCTTATCGAACGAAATTATCACATTTTGATATCGATGGCACCGGTCAGTGCTGAAACATTCTATTCTCCATTCAATTCCATTGATTTTCTTGGACCATTTTTGCAAGAGATGAACAGTGTCTGGATGAAACTATTTATTTACAGTGTAACACAATCGGGACCAGCATCATTGTTATTACCTAAAGGTTATCGTTTAAATGTTTTACCTGATTGTTTGAAAGTTTTTGATAAATTCTTGGTTACAACTTGGAATCACGAGCCCACATACATATCTAATGTGAACATTTTGTTGAGTATCAACGAAGCATTACTTCATTCAGCTGTACTTCTACAAGGGTTTTACTATGGCAATAGCAATGATTTTAAAGAAGAATATCAACAGATTCGCCATATACCATTTCCATTTGAACACGCGGAAAAACATTCCGGATTAGGAAAATTAGCATCATCCGTAGATCTAAAAAACACATGTGGTTACGTATCTATGTTAACATTGTCATCGAATGATTCCGAAGAAGTTCTATTGGATATTAGGTAAGAATATGACAATATATTCGAATAAATTGCATCTATTGCTTTACCTGTTCAGATTTGGTATACCATTGTTTGATGAGAAGATCAGCGAGACAATTCGAAGTGGAATTGTGAAGCATAAACTATGTTCGAAAGATAAGTAAGTTAAAGAAGCAGAAAAATTCATGAAAATGTTTGTACTCGGTTTTAAATAGAGCACAAGAACGATTGAAAAGTATTCGAGCACTTTCAATCAGTTTAGTAGCATTCGTCGAACGCTTTCAGGTAAATAGCTTCTTTCTCTTTGTTCGTCAAAATTCATTGGTGAACATTTACTCGACAACTTCTGATTTAATTAAATCTTGAAATTTTCATTTAGCTTCTTTTTGAAACACATAAAATTGATTTTGCTTTTCTTTCGCTCACTCTAGCAATCAGATTCTTCCTCGTGCAATATGCCAATGCGTCATTCATCCAATGGTATACGTTCGACTTGTTTACCTCAACGACCTATTCTTTTCGATGGTGAAAACCTCACAACGATTAGCACATCGGCGAGTTCATAGAAAAACTTTTACTCATCGTTTTTTTCATTTTTAAATATATACATACATATATATATATTTCTGTTGTGATATCTTATTTATTTGTTTAAGTAACTACAACATTTCCTGGTTTAGTCGATTTTTCATTTTGTTTGTTAAGAGTGAATTTGATTATAATTTTAAGAGAGAAAACAAACTTTGCCCGCAAAGAAAACAACTGTAATTTATATCTCAGCCAGCACTCTAGATCTGTTGTTTTGTTCATGGCTGTAGTCGGTTCGCAAAGAGAATCGATCTTTTTATCTCAGGATGATGTCGTGTATGCAGATCAACAATCTACTTCAGCATTAAAGTGTCCCATTTGTCAGCGAATATTTTCCGATCCAGTTATCACACAATGCTCTGTGAGTAATTCTCTTGTGAATTTATCGAGATTTTTATTCATATTTTTTAGCATACATTCTGTCGAAGGTGTATATCTATGACAGGTAAGTTCATGTTCTGCTTTCGAGCTGATTTGACATGTGAAATGAATTGTAGTACAATGCCCGTTCGATCAACAAATTGTACAAAGCTTTGTCAGTAATCAGATTATTGCTGAACAAATCGACGCTCTACTCGTCTGGTGTAAATATGCTTTCAAAAAGTTTCCGATGAGTTCAAATGATACGAAAAATGAACGCGACGAATACGGCTGTCCAGTGAAGATCGCGCTGAAGAGAAAGAAGTTCGTTTTTTTCGTCAATGTTTTGATCCGAGCGGAATTTTCGTTTTGTTTCAATCTAGAGAACACGAAGATGAATGTCCTTATCGTTTTGTTTCCTGTCCCAATGCTTGCTCGTTGAATAATCTCCGTCAAAAAGTGAGTCGATGCATTGAATTGCCAATGAAAGCAAAGAGAGTTTCAAAATAAAAGATGTTTAGGATCTGTATAACCATCTTCATACTTGTTCGAACCGACAAACGACAACAGCCAATGTAAATTCACCTGTCAATCATGAACACTTACAGCTACTCCAACAAGAGTTAATTTCAAAGATGTCACAAATCGATTTTCTTGTTAACACATGCAAACAACTAACGAGTACAGTTGCACTTATGCGTAATGAGATCGGTAGGTGGAAGCAATTCTTGAGTTCAATTAGGAAATTCTTCTTATTTAGATACATTAAAAGTGAATCAAGAAGCTCTCTGTTCCCGGAATGATCTTTTACTAGTAAAATGTTACTCTATGATACACCGAACGTTTTCTTACCGATGATTTTTCTAGAGTGAACTAATGAAAACAAAACAAACATCTCCTATACCAACAACCATTGACGAACAAGAATCGATACGAACTGATGGTACTGACGAATATCATCCAAAAGCTCCCTTCGATTTTCCATTGTTTATTAGATAGTGATGACGATCAGGACCTACCCAGTGTTATTCTTCGTTGTAATGGAACATTCACGGGACATAATGATACTGTCTGGTGTTTATATGCATTACATGACGTACTTCTCAGTGGTTCGTCAGATAAAACAGTCAAAGTAGGATGCGCCTAGTCGATTTTTCGGCTTGTTTATTCGATAGCGAAAAAATAGGTTTGGAATTTATGTGAAACTCCATATACGAATTTAGCTACGTTGCATGGGCATCATGACGCGGTTTTATCGTTGACTGTGAAAGAACGAACTGTGTTTAGCGGTGGCGGGGATAACTCGATATTTGTGAGAATAAACTCATAATGAAAATCTATTTTCAATTGATCGATTTTGTTCTTCAGGTTTGGAATTTAGACGATTATAATCAAACGACATCTTTTGTTGCTCACACAGGTAAATTTTAATGGACATGTTCGACTCCTCTATAGGCAAAGTTTGATGACTTTAGATCCTGTTTGTTCATTAGCACAATACAATAATCATTTGTACAGTTCATCAAATAAATGTTTGAAAATTTGGGATATTGAAACATTACAATTGGTCAACGAAATTGCTACAGATACTCGCAATGGTTGGCTAAGAGTTCTCATGCAAAAAGATAAATGTATCTATGCTGGATGTCGACGTGGAATCAAAGTAAATGACGTTCGTTTTCTGACATCACTCCATCGATTTTGATACTTAGGTTTTTGATGTAACTACGCAACAAATCTCGTTCGAGTTTGAATTACCCACCAGTGATTCAATTTATAGTTTGGCACATTCGGATACATTGTTATTTTCTGGTGCTTCTTCGGGGAAAATATATGTAAATATCAGCGAAATCAGTCGATGATCTACGTTCACTTTCTCCATATACCTACTTATAGGTTTGGGATATTCGAGCAAACCGTTGCTTAGATACAACTTGTCAACATGATGCAACTGTTCACGGTCTCTGTATACGAAGTGCTGATAAATTTAATCAGACAAATTTAATAAGTGCCTCGAGTGATAAGACTATCCGGGTATGGAATGTGGAGCGATTCGAACAAGTTCAATATGATGATCGACATGAAGCGGAAGTGACCGCGTTACATGCCAATGCTCGACATATCATGTCTGGTGCTACTGATGCGAAGATAAAAGTAAAACAACAGTCAACTTCAGAATGTATTTTTCAAATAAAACTCGTTTTTCATTTAGGTTTGGGATTGTATAACTTCGTATGAACATTTTGAATAAATAATGTTTTTGTATTTTCTGCGAAAAGCCAATTTGTATTTTGAATTATAATTTCCACGTTAATTATAGATGCAGCACTTGTCTCTGTCGTTGATTAGATCTCATATCTCAAAGCGTTGGGTTAATTTTGTACTCTCTCGTTCAAAAACAACCCCATCAATTATTCCTAAAGCAGCTGAAGATATTAAAGAAGCAGCCAAAGAACATGTTCGAGAACTACGTCGAGAATTTGATAAACCAGTAAAATTTTCCACTAGCCGAGCAAAATATTGGGACACAGCGGACTCAATCGTCTTTAATCGTCATATCGGAAAATTTACACGACCCGTTTTAATTGTGACTATTTTGATCAATATGGTTTGTTTTCATATGAAAGGAAAAGTTCGAATTCCATCTGTTTATGATTTTAGTACTATTGGGGTTATTATCGAGAAGAAAACGATATTGATGATATGTTAAGTATGGAACCATGGCAGATATTTCCTCGGTTAAACTTAGAATATCTGAAGACAGCTGAAAGACAGTACCGGGAAGCCGGTTTGGACACGAGCCAAATCGAAATCAAGAAGAAAATGATTCAAGACATATTTCAGCCGCAATTAAACAATGAAGTCCGTCTAAAATCTAAATAAATGAAATATTTTTCTTTTTTTATACGTGTTCTTCTCCTTTATGGTAAGATTTATATAAAAAAGAAAACAATATAGATACTTGTTCTTAATTGGTTCGTTATTCGTCTGTCAGGCATGATTTATTCAAGTGTTAACTCTTCTGAGAAGAAAATTACCGTCCGGGAACTTAGACATTGACGTCAGACATGTGAAAATCAAGAAAGAAATGAGAAATAATGATTTACAAAGAATTCATAGATGTCATATAAAATCATGGCATTCATTCTGCAATATTCATCTCCTGCATTGTCTTCAAATGAAATGAGGTAGGAATCCAACCTTTTTCTATGTTAAATATACTCTACAGAGATTAGTTGCTTTCACAGCCGAACATGGAGGGAGATGTCGGCAGGGTTGACAACAGAAATGTTCAAGTTTCGTACAAGGTGGTACGATTTGGCAATGCATTTCACATTGTTCTGGTGTGAGAGTTGTACGTTTGAAAGACTTAGTCTGAAGAGCAGTATTTGTATATACCGATACCCACGGTGGTTGGTTTTTAGATACTGGTTTCTTTCCAGTAATTGTTGAGGTCGTATTTCTTCGTCTATTCGAAAGAGCTTTCGATTGCGCACTTATCATCTGATCCGGTGAAGAGTATCTTTTATGCGGGCGTCGCACATGTTGATTGCTCGATGTTGGACATTTCTTTATACTACGTGACATTTTCGACTTCTTAGTTGATGGTTGACATGCACTCGTTGCGATATTAAGTCTCGATTTCTTCGGGTAATGCACCAAAGATACATTCAAATTATCTAAAAAGCTGATGTATGTGTGACGAATAAACGATGTCGACAGGTACTTGATGAAGGTTTTCTATGAATAGAAGATGCAGACATTAATGGTGGGTATTTTGAGTGATGTAATAATGAATGCGCTAAAGTAGCTTTTTCTTCGCTTGAGATAATGGCTACAAAGAAAGAAAGATAGCAGTGTTAATAAATAATTTAATATCTTTTGAAAATTACAGTTCGCCAGAGACAGATTATGGTTTATTTTTAAATTAACTGAAGGTGAACAAATTAAAGAGATAAATATAGATTAAAGACATGAGCTTTTACTGTGTTGGAGATCGGTGTTTTCCATTAAGGAACGATTGGAAGTGTCCAACGGTTCAAATAGTGATGTTTGGGTTTCAGCAGCAGCTGTAGATACAATTTTTTCATGACTAACATGATTATGTAACACAGATAGAGGTACATGTGTCAGAATTGTCATCGATTGATGTTGTTCCGTGTCTAAATTTGATAGTCTTTCAGAAATATTGCTCTTTTCCATCTACCTTGGATGTCAACATGTGTTGTTGGTACAAACTCGTCCACAGAATTCTCTATGTTTGCAATAGATACTACAAAGAGCGAAACAACTTTTCAAACAGATCATTAGAAGATTTACGAGAGGATCGCAATGGTTCAGTTAACAAAGGAGACGGCATTTCATTGTCGAAATGATCGAGTATTTTCTGTGGCGATCGCTGAGCTTGGAGAGAAACATGGTTATCAAACGAAATTTCTACAACACGACTTATAATTAAGAGTTTGCCTTGCTATTATCCTTCACGCATTGTCTAACGAAATAGAGCAATTCTAAGGAGAATACCTTCTAAAATAGTATCTAATGAGGTTAATTGATCTAAATAAGCTGATGAGTCTTGCAAACGTATTTAAGTATTTGATACCTTGATCCGAAATTGTAGCTATAGGGCTGTAGTCTGAATGAAGATCAGTTTCTTGGAGATCTGTTCTATCATCAAATAGTATCGATTCAAGAAATGAAGTATGCAGTTTATCCAGCACTGGTTCACTAGCTGAACTTAAGTTACGTTTTATAGCTTGTTTATCCTTCGAATGTTCATTGTCACCTATGAAAGAAAACATCTTCCAAAGGAATCGATATCAAACATGAATACTATCAAATATCTGTTGATCATTCGTGGAATGAAAATTCCGATCGAATAATGTATTTACAGATTGTATGGGTGAATGTTCTTGTTGATAATCATCATTCTTCAGAAGTATGACAGTCGATAATGATCGATATCGCCACAGATCTGATGTGTCGAACATATGAATTGCAGATGGCAAGTATGGCGTTTGTACTGCAGTTGCTAATAATCGACAATTGATGACTGTCAAAGGACATATTGGTACTAGATTTGCCATCAGAATTGCTATGGAAGGCCATTGATAGGTTGTTGAAACGTCCATTTCACTTAATAAGGAAATTTCAAGGTCAATATTGGTATAATAATTGTTTTCATAGTCTATTGACAGAGTTTGATTGGTGAATAAATTTGAATCGCGCTCGAAACTTGGATGAGAGAAAGCTTCGGAAGATTTTTGTTTATCTCCCTTTTCATAATTCAGTTCCCTTTTCGATGTAACTCTTCGATATAAACAGATACGTTCATCTGATTTTATGCCATCTTGCTTCAAACATAGTGTTGGCGCTTCTGAATTGTCAATAAAATCAATCGCACCAATTCCTGGATCAAATCATAACCTTCATCAGATAGAAAAACTAAAATCATCTTATACCGAAACAAACAAATTCATCATCGATTCTTCTATCTTTAAGCATATGCTGGCACGATTTCTTTCGAACATCGATCGATATCTCTGTTTGATACTTTTCTCGGCAAGTTGATTTGTTCATGATTGACTTCGAATAGTATTGATTCAGAACTTGTTTCTTTGCTCTGTGAGATTTCGATGATGCATTGAATGATGAAGGGAAATTTCGGTAACAAATTGGCAATTTGAATGGTTTATTCCGATTTGAAGGGTAATGCTTCACCTGTTTGTACTTCTCAGTCAGTCGTCTAATGAACAATCGATTCCAGCTTAATGAAAAAATGTGAATTTTATTTAACTTGCACGCTGCTTGACAGTCGAATAGTTTTATATAGATCTCCGATGGTTCTCTGACATGATTATCGAAATCCTTTTTTAAATCCGTTCGATCCAGTTTTTCATCAACACGAGAAAATGTAGTTCGAGCTTTTTCATTGTTCATATTCATCGATGAAGAATGATATCGATGAGCTTTCTTTTTCGATGTGTATGCTGACGCTGATCGGTCATAGGTTTGTCGAAAGAAACGGGACAAGTTTGGAGTTGTTGAAAGTAATGAGACTGAGTTCTCGTTTTCTTGTCGAGGGAGTGCTTGTTGTTCACAGTGCACTTGTTTAATTAAAAATACTTGAAGATTTCTTTCCGACAGAGCAACCTGTTGATTAAATTCCAGGGAATTCTTTTTAAATTGTCGACGTACCCGACTTTCAGTCAACTGTTGGTTGAGAACAATTAAAAGTCGCGCTATGAAGTCATTTTTCTCTTGTAAATATTGATATATAGCAAAATCTAATCGTAGAAGATGATCAATCATAATATTTGATGAGACATTAGCGATCGTTTCATCACAATTTCCAACAAAATCTATCGGGATAAAAGAAACAATCATTTTCATTATAATTTCTTTCGTTTCTATTCCTATTCTACGAATATGCCCTCTCGACAATTTCATCATCGACATTATGCAATCGTTAGAAAATACTACGTAGTACTTTGGATTCTTATTTCGCTGTATGTGCGTAATCATCCTTATCGCTTAACATATTTTTCGTTGTATTTATTCATCCGAATGGTAAATAATCGTCTAATGAAAGAAAACGATTTATTAACGTAGGTGTGTTTTTCACATGCGCTAATAATAATAACAATACGTAAATGATCGATTCGCCGAGTATCAACTTACACTATGTTTCTCTGACAAGGTATTCCTGTTGATTCGATTTCTTACTTATTGTAAGTGTTAATGAAATATGTTTTGATCGAGTTTCGAATGCGATTTTAGACAAATTTGTTATGACTCGATGTTGCTCGGCAGTAGTCAATTTTTTCTCATTATCAAATAATTGTTTCGGTTCATTGTTGCGAAAAGATTCAATTAGTTTTTCTTCATTTTCTCCTCTAAAAAATAAGATGATATATGCGAAAAGTTTTTTAAGTACATTTTCTGCGTGAAGCATCATCATCAACGATGGAGAGAAGTAGTCGTCTGCGTTATTTGCTTGCAATAAGTTTTTCTCAAGCATATCAACTGCAGCAAATAAAAATGAAATTTTCCAATTGATTTATTTGTGTCGAACGATAAGCTTTCGCAAATAATAAGTCATATGTCTATTTAGTGCAAAGGGAGAGGTCATGAAAACATTTTTTAACCCATCTTAGACCAATTTAACAGATTGCTGCTGGAAGGTCATTGATTGAAGAGAAAGAGAGCAAAGTAATTTTTGAGTGTGAATGAGAATAGAATAAACATTTCGTGAATTCAATGTCAAAACGGCTTGGACTTACGAAATGTGAGACATTTGCTCCTGATTGAGAGGTTTGCCCCTGTCAATGTCGATTGTTTCACTGGAAACAGATGCTTTATGATCGTAATATTGATATCGAGAAGTGGCTAGAAGTTTATTCATATAATTCAAAAGCCATTGAAACTTCTCATCAGCTGTGTTCTGTGTACATTGCATTTGATGAAAAAGAGGAGTCGTTAAAAGATTGATAATGATTTGCGTCAGATTATCAATCGAATAGCAAATAAGCTCGACGTTTTTGGTAAGTCTTCTTATTGATAGAAGAATCTCTCTGACAGTCTTAGGCGAACGACGAAGATTTAGTGTTGTATGAATATGAATTTTATACTTCCGATAAGTATCATTATTTAACATAAAAGAGAAAATGTAACAAGTATAGAAAAAACACGAACAGCAAGGCGCGTAATAGTTTGTACGTGATTGACCTTGAGAGAACATATTATCTAAACATCACAATAACATAATTCTTCTTGTTTCGTATGTGTGCCTATTTGAAGAAACAACTGGCATCTGTAAGTCTTCTAATGATCACAAAAATAAACGAGATAATCATTCGATAACGGGAGAAAATCAATTGAATTCGAATAAAGTTGTTTGTTTTTCATTTGATTGATGAGAATTATTATTATTCACAGATTTGAATGAAGGTGTTTTTTGACAGATAGTCTATGTTATCATTATTAGCTAATTGATGCATATCTATTTGAGTGTCCTTCAAGCTTATCATTGCTCGAAATTTGTGACGAAAAAACAATGCAAACAAGAGACGGATAAATATGATTAATAGTTCATAGAATTTGAATATGTAACTGAGTTTCTTGTCATCAGTTTCTGGTTCAAATATCTTCGTCTATTTCTGTAATCATGTCATCAGAAAGTGACATCAGACCATTTTCTTAACCACCCACTTTTCTAAATACGCAGTTTTTTTTTAATATTGTGGTTGTCGCCGTCGCCGCCGTTCTTGTTGTTATTTCTTTTTTTTTCTTCCTTTCCTATTTTCATTTGTACCAGTAACAGCTGAGATATAAGTAAAGATTCGTAGTCAGTGTTTTTGTTTTTCTTTCTATCGCTTGACGAGAACGTATTTCTTTTGCACACACACACACACACACACTACGAAAGATGAAATGAGGGGAGAGAGAGAGAGAGAAAAAGAAACGATCTATCTACAAAGTAAGCAAAGAAAATCAAATACAATAGTTCGATTTTTATCACCATCTATATAAACTAAGAAGAAAATGAAGATTGACGATTTATTTCTAGATTTGAATTTATCCATGTGTACTGATATAGATTATCTGCCGCAAATGATGATGCTCACTGAAAAAGAATTTCGGTTAGTTGATGATTACGATCGAAGAAATAGCTGGACACCATCAGTCACATCTTCATCGTCTTCGTCGACAGCCAACACGGCTAGCACCAATCCAACCTCGTGGATTGAAAGGAAACTATTCAGTCATTTGAAGCGTTTCTTTCGCCGAAGTCCACCCCAATCGCAATCCAACTCTCTGACATCAAGTCGTCGACCATCTTCTCTTGGTGAAGAAATTCTTTCATTATCAGCCAACGAACAATCAAAACAAACGCCCGAAGAAGAAGAAACCAACTCGACAGCAGTAGAAAATCCTTGTCATGAACATATCGATACTACTACTTGTTGTTGTTGTTCTTCTTCTTCTCCTTCTTCTATTCCTCCTGAATCGATCTCAAAGCCAGTTTGCGAACAAAAACCTACAATAGCAGATTCTTCCAATGCGCTCGATTTGTTATATGATTACGATCGTCTTCTAGCTCGTTGCATCGAACGACAGGAACATGATTTAACTGAAATGATTTCACGTTGTCAATCGCCTGTAACCATTCCCCATGCTGATATAACTGTCGGACAATCACGTTCAATTTTGAACAATTGGAAATCGTATACACGATTGTTTCGTGCATTAAACCGTGATCCGCATTTATTTCAACAATATGTGAACCAATATTATGGTTGTCAGTCGTCGATCAATCAACGTGAGCAGTTGACATTTAATACTCGAACAACTCGAACGACGTTTGACAATGTATTGAAGAAGTATCTTGATGAATATGTGACGTGCTTAGCTTGTCAGAAAGCTCGAACGCATTTAATCAAATCAACGGGCTTATGGCGAATTGAATGTCAATTGTGTGGAAGTCAACGTTCAGTCAAACGTCTTCGATGGAATCGTCAAAACAAGCATTCATAATAGGAAACAAATAGAAACAGTGATATCTAGAATCATAATCATGTTTTATTTTTCTTGGTCTTCTTCTTCTTCTTCTTCTCTGTTCAAATCTAGTCTCAACTGTCTCATTTCGTTCTTTTTTGCTGTTATTGATGCCTTTCTTATTCTTATTTTTGCCTATTCTTTTATTTCTTACCTGTAAACTGTCTACACATCTATCAGAGGAAAGGACACCGTAGTGAGAACTATCTTTTGTCTCTGATAGCATTATTCGTAAATGTGATCGAATCATTTATATGTGTTCATGGATATTCTGAATCATTGATACATATATTCTAACAAATATATATCATATTATTTGAAATTACAACGTTTATTTTCCAGCTAGGCAAACAGTAAGGTGAAGGGTGCGAAACCTAATTGCAACATCATGCAGAAAACTAACTTCATATCATCAAGCGTTCTTCAATGCTTGGTTTACATTTCTGGTTGAAAGATACAATCGAGCTGAGAACTTCTTGCTTCTTAATTATTAATCAAACAGTTCTTTCATGAAATGCGACGTAAAGAGAAAGAATAGCAATGATACAGATAATTATAGCACATGTCATGGTGGATATAATTGAACCATAATGCGCTATTGATGAATAGAATTTTGTTTTATTAGAACCGATTATAGCAGGATTGTTTTCAGATGTTTGACAAGTAAAAATAGATACTCGGATCGATGCAAAGGCAGCAAATAGTGTTAAACATATCGAAAGAATAATGAGAAATTTCAGAAAGACATGAAGAAGAATAACATTGCCCGCGAAAACAGCACCATCGATTAACTACGTAGATTAGATGGAATTTAAATCAACAGGATTAGTTTCGTTTAGACTACCTCGGCATATGCAAATGTAAAAAAAGCAAGACACATTGATTGCATGGCCGAACCGAAATAATTAGGAATATCACTTGGAATTAGAGTAACAGGCACAATAGTCGATTGGTCCGTCGTCTGAGGTGCTGATCGATGTGTTGATTCGTTTGTGGCAGGTAGAGAGACTTTCTTAGGTTGTTGAAAGAAAACGGAACTATTATTGAATTCGAATGAATGAACTCGTCTCATTAGAAAAAAAAAAGTACAAACAATTCTCACGCGCTCTTTTACTGAAACGGTTTAAAGGGTGTGTATACTGAATAGCTGATAGTATTCAAAATGAACCCGTCGGTCAAAATTTCCACTACGTGCATTCTGACATAGAAATATCTTTCTCATATTTTTCTTCTAGTCATGTTTGTTTATGCAAAGAATTCGATACTGCTTATCAATAAACATACATAACCTTTCGAGATAAAAGTATAATGCAATGCTCGTACCGAAGGAGAAAACAGAATCATTCGATGGACTTTTGAATAAATTGTATTTCGTACTTTGTCGAAATTAGAAAAGTTCGTAATCAATTCCATTCGTATGAAAGAAAAGAATGTGTGAGTCAGTATTTCCGGAATAGACTCATAGTAAAAGAATGTCGGGAATAGACAGTGCAAGGAATTATTTCGATTAATTGCAGACGTTCTCCATCCGTTGATAAAACACGTCCGATGACAGCAGAAATTCCGTGTCAATTATCAAATTAACAGTGTTTTCAAGTAATAAAAAGTTTCTTCAAGTTCTTTCTTATTAGTCACTTATGAAAACAACTCTCTTCTTCTCAAAAGTCAATCTTACCGATGTTCGCGTTCTACATTTTTAATATTCTCCAGCCCGCTGATCAGCGGCTTTTGCTAATCGACTTAAAGATCGATTATTTTTCGCATAACAATCGGTGATGTATGAATTTGTTCACCTATGAGAACATTTACTTGCATTCAAAGGATGTCATACAATTAAGTCGATAGGTCTGTCTCGTATGTTTCGCGCACATACTTGAGTTTTTAATATACGAATAGACAAACAAAAAAGGAGTTCATTTCACAGACGTGCACGTGTTAATAACGGTAAATGTTATGGAAAATTCTTCCGTAACGATCGTCGTTCCTTAGCAGAACGACGCGACGGGAAAAAGAACTGTTCTTGATCGGCTAGAATTGCTTGTTGATTATTTGTTGCTACAAATACGTATTGATTATTTCCTTTACGTTTCTGTGAGAAATAATTCGGTTGACAAGTCAATATGGAAATAAAAGCTCGACGAAATCGGACGTTGAATGCTGTATAGATGATCTAGAACAAACATTTGACTGTAGAATTAACTCAGAAGATCGGAATTCTCCTTACGGGATTGAGATTCGATGAAATATAACCAAGCCAACTTGTTAGATTTAATAAAGATGCTTGGACACCACATGATGGACAGACAGCCGAGAGGATATTCAAAATCGAGAAGGGAAGCCATGCAATAAGAAAGACGAAGAAAACTATGCCGAGAACTTTTATTGCACGACGTTCACTGGTTGTTTCTGATCCACCTTTGAATGCATGGACAGCTTTCTGTACCAAAGTATTGTGAAGAAACGATCGCTGTTGTGTATTCGATGTCGGAACGGCTTGAATCGGAGATATCCTAGAAATAAAGACATTATCATAATGATTAGTTTTGTATAAAGAGAAGAATGTCAACATGTTCTCGAGGGATATTAATATGAGTGTCTGTAGATTAAAAATTAGTCTATTCGATTCTTTGTTGCCATGAAACTTACGGACATTGCTGATGATGATTTTTTTTGTCATCAGTGTCAACTACTGTTGGTGTTCGAAGTGACGCGGATGTTGAACTCGATGCTTCCCTGGAAACAACGTTCTTTCGCGGATATGATAATGGACGTCGTTGGGTTGCGGATTGATGTCGACGCAATCCGTCGGATTTCTTTGGCTTGATCATTAGATGATCATCTGGATCTGCGAAGCATTTCGCTGCTTCTAATTGTAAACGACGAATCGTTAACGAGTAAGTAACAAGCATTAATATACATGGAATACAAAAACAAATGATCGAGCCATAGATGATAAACGGACGATGACTGAGAACGCAATGACGACGGTGATCGGGATCGATGATGATAATATTGTTTTGATCGAGAAAACCCAGAATAAGTATAGTACATGAGATCGCGATAGAAAATGTCCAAATGCAGAGAATTGTCAAGAAGGTTTTCCGTTTACTTCGCTCTCGACTGCGAAAAGGTCGTGAAATATGTAGAAAACGATCAATTGAAAGAATAGTCAAGTGCCAAATTGAAGTTGTGCATAAAAGTACATCGAAAAATATAAACAAATTACAAAATATGACTGGTAATTGCCACGAACCTAAAAAGATTATTGACAACAAATCCGATTTCTATCAAATGTAAACTAATTCAATTTGGCGACAATGTCTCTTCTTGTTTATCGAATGCGCTTGACAGTTTGTCTCGAGCTAAGATGAAAATTACCTAAAACTTTTCGTTCAAATCAACTTATCATATGCAAACTCTCCTGAGAATTGGTTTTGTGCATGATAGGATCGTATTATTAGCTCAGTCCTGTCAGTGTGTTGGCCAACTACTAGAAAATGAACAACCATCTATCAAAGCAAAAGGGACTTCTCAATGGTGAGATTGGCAAGTTTTTTTTTCTACTGTTTCGACCTATATTTAACGCAAAATTGATTGCTCTAACAAAAGTATTAACTCTCAAGTGATCATCTGTTTGTTCTCTTGTTTCGCAAATGCAATTAGCAAGGATCTAATCAAATCTACTCGACGTCAGGGATTTAACACAATTTCTATCTATCTTTTCTTCGATAATCATGTCTTCTTTTGATATTATTCTTACCATGGAAATCTTTGATAACAGAAAATGGCAAAACAATCAAACTAACTAGGAAATCGGCAATAGCCAAAGAGAAGAGAAACCAATTCGTAACTGTTTGTAATTGTTTATCAAGAGTGATTGAAACACACACGAGTAGATTACCAAAGGTGCCAAAGATCCCCACAATGAACAAGAATAGAACAGACCAATTGTACTCATGTGTCGATGATAATTGTTTGTCATGTGTAAGATTTGTTAGAGTAGACGTATTTGCATAATGAATATTAAGAAAAAAGTCCAAATGAAAATGATCAATCGACGCCATGAATGGCAACTAAAATTGAAAAACTTCAATAATATATTTCTAAGTAACTGTTTTTTAGTATGATTTGATTTCTTTGTTTCCTACTCAATGTTACTTGTGCGTCCTTCTTATTTTATGATTCTATTGGAATTAATAGGGAAAACGGGAGAAAAGCAGTAATAGTTCTTCGAACATATCTATGATTATTATTTCGATGAACAACGACGGCGATAATAATAAACACGCGAATCACTGGCGTACATAAGTAAAGGAAAGAGAAAAAACGCTCAAAACACGACAAATGTATGCAAAATATGCATAAAAAACACGAAGAGAGAAAAAAAAGCGAAGGACTTCGTTGTAAATACACATGATGAAAATCGAATGCGTAACGATTAAAATGAGCTGTTATCAAGGTACTTCGAATGTATGCTATATTCACAATTTTGTCTCTTTCCTTTCTCGATTATCTCATTTACTATCGGCCGAAGAACGGAAAATATTTTGTTGATTAGGGTGAGATACAAAGCATGCAAACAGTTAATATCGAAGTAACGATTAGTAGAAAACAAGAGAGAAAGAGAGCAAAGTTCTGTTCAAATCGAGTTTGCCTTATGGGACAAGATGGTTCTCACTTAAATGATTTATTATGCAAAGAAACAAAGGCATTCTGTACGTGCTTGAAAGCAATGGACGAATTCTCTTTGTGTCATTTAATTAATAATTGAAGATTTGTGAGCGAAGCAGCATTTCTTTTAAGTCCTTTTAATGAATTTTCTTACCGAAAGAAGTAGAATATTTTATAGTTAAGTCATTATTGACGGAATGCAGTAGCGGATCAGATGAAATTTGACAGCTGTCAAAAGACGCAGCAGATTCGTTGTTTTCGTTTATTGGTAAAGAAATTCAATTCGAGTCGATGAGTTCTTCTTTCGAAATCAAATTGCATGTTTTATTACAAATTGATATCGAGGAAACGTTTCATAGCAAAAATAGAAAACAAACCCACAGAAAAAAAACAAATACAAATTGTATCTGATCTACATAAAAAAAAAGACGTGTGCAACGGAGAGCAGATCAAAGTGATTTGCCCTTCGCATTAACATATATGGCAGTATGTGTTAGATCTGTTCCGAGTTCTTCTTCCATGACTAACAAGCAACGATGTGCTTGGATATATCATCATTTAATTGCGTATATTCAAAAAGAACTAAACTTCGTTCATTGGCCGATACACCCGTGATAAAATATTCTTTTTGATTATTGAAATGGTTGGTTACTGAATGAACATGTAAGGATTGAATTGTACCTTGAAGAGAGATTGATTCATTTATGACTTCTTTTTGTTTCACACTCCAAGTACGTATGCGTTGACCATCGGTGTCAATGGAAAGGAAATGTCGATAGTCGAGCCACGTTACTGAGTGAATCTAAATGAAAAAATGTCCTCGATTGAGTATTTATGTTTTAGCGAGTTTTAGGTCAAAGTTAGAGTGAACGAGCACTTGAAATGAACGAGTTTTATGAGGAAATATGCTCTACAGATTGATCTATTTTGTTTTCTTTTATTATTTGAATAGTCGTAAAGATAAAAGGCCTCATTCTCATAAGGATTTACCAATGGATCACAAATTGTTGCAATTAAAAGGAATTGGCCGATAGGAATTGTCACATCCCAGATATAAATAAAGCCTTGTTGAGTAAATACTAATAAGCGATTATCATTCATTTGACAATCAACGATCTGATTTGTATTTGTGTCATTGAGTAAATAATTAAAGTCATAACTATATAAGATTTCTCCATCGTTTAACTGCCAGATAATAATCTCATTGGTGCGTAGTATAGTTAAGATATATTGATCACCATTGTTATTCGAATCGACCATGGAAAATGTAAAATTTGGATCACAATTAAATCGTGTTAATATCATCGTACAATTACTCATCGTTCCCGTGATCAATGATGATTGATCGTCACTTAAAACCGAAGGCGTTGGCGTTGCTTCTAGTTTGAAAACGACGAAACATGTAAATGTACTTGTAAATTCTGTACAAGCAACTAAGGCGTATAATTCGTTTTTTGTTAGAATAATTCGTTTGATCTCATCGCCAATCGATGTATCGGGATCGGACTTTAATTCCCGTGCCAAACTGCATGAGTCAATGTCAAGCAGACCAAGTGAAATTCCTCGGCCATATTTTTGTTTTCCAGCCATGTAAAGTATCGGTGAATGCCGCGATGCACTGGCAATGGAACATTTTATCGGATGTACATTCGTACGAATGGAATAATCATCTGTTGACCAAATTTTTACACCGTATGGATTCACGTTCGATGTTACTTCGTAGAAAAGTCCGATAAGATACTGACCATTGTAGGAAAATAGGATGTTATGACAAGCGCCAACGGATGAAATTGGAAGTTGAGAGTGAAAAATACCGGACTAGAAGATAAATGTTGATGATTCGAAGGTTTTCTTTCGAAAGAGACTTACGCGAACGTGGGATAATTGAATACGATTTTCGTCAGCAGTGGCCAGAAGGATTGTTTGATGATGATTAGGCTGGATTCCATAGCAATCAACAAGATTTTTGACGTAGAGAAACAAAATTTGATTTTGAATTTCGGTGGAATTCGGATGTATTTTAGAGAGTGACCGGCGTTTCAATGATGATCGATGTGAGGCGAAAAACTCGTCTTCCACATCTAAATTTGCTGCTAAATCGCAAGAGTAAACAGCCGAATAGGTTTGAGCACTTGAATTATCTAGTTCTTTCTTCAATGACCGTAATGTTGCTGTGTGTGGAACGACGGGTGAATGATATTGTGTTAAAGTAGTTGATGGCTCGCTTGGATTAGACATTAGACGATTCACTTGATGATAGATAGACGAGGATGTCGATGGAGGTGGAATAGGTTGAGCTAGAGTTGAATATATACAACCATCATTATCGTTGGCAGTGCTGATGGCATTCTTATAGGACGAATTCTTCTTTTTATCTTTACGATTCTCTTGAATTGAAGATATGAGGTGATAACTATCACCACTGTTCAAACGGGACATGCTGCCATTGGATGCTAGACGAAACGGAGCAGGTTTGGATTGTTTAGCGTGCAAGAATCGAAGAAGTTTTTGTGCACGTTTCTTAGATTGATATGCGTCGGGCGATGCCATAGAATAACCTTTGATTTGCGAGTAGGTTTTACTTCCGTTGGTTTGATTATATTTGTGCGAAAGTTTCTTTTTCGATTGGCGAGTTTTGCAATGGATATGTAAGATTAAAAAGAGAAGAAAAAGCAGAAAGCAGATCGACAAGATTGAACCGATGAGAAGACCACGAATGCCAAAATATGTTAGCTTTTTGTAGATCCATTCAAACGGTGTTTGATGAGGTAGTTGAGAAATTTTATTCACCTGGGTTGCTGCTGGTTGATGAAAGATATTGTCAGCCATTGGAATATCTGTTGTATGACTGATAGTTTGATCAAGAATCGTTGTTTCATAAGTGTTATTCATTATTGAGGATGTCGAAAGAACAGTGGAAGAAATTATCGGAGTAGCATAGTGCGTAGATTCAACTAGATTGAATAGACCAGTATGATCATCTGGTTGTACTTCTTCTACATCACCAGTGCGAATAAGAGTATTGGAAAGACTGTCGAATACTGATTGACGATTGAACGAGAGACCTAAAACAAAATGAGATCGAAATATTATTTACAATCAGTTAAAATCTTTTGTAAGCACAACGTATGGACTCATTTGATTTAAAGTCAAAAATAAACATCTTAAAGCTAGACATCTGTCTAATCATCAAATATAAACACATGTCCGAAAGATGGAAGGATAATTGATAGAAACTCATATTTACCAGCGATGATTCCATTCCAGATCGAGATGTTTTTGAAACTTCCAATTCGTAATCTTCGTTGTGCAAGAAATGATCGTTGTTGATCAGATTGACGTGTATATTCTAAACATTAAACATCTCAAATATCTCATGTTCTCACTAACATCCTCTACGTACTATTTCCTCCATCTAATTTCACCCGAATTCCATCAACATACAATTCAATCGTGGAAAGTTTACGAATAACCTTTATTGCATGATACATTCCATCAGTAACATGAACAATACATGAATACACATCAGGCTGTTTCTCTCCCATATTCAATTTTATATACGAACGACCACGTAGCTAAGCACATATTCGATTTCAGTAAAGTGACAATTTTGATTTTTAAACAAACTTACGATTTCATATTCTAAATTATAAGAATCCAAATCGGATTCTAGACGAAAGATTTGTGCGGATAGGGCCAGTGTTTGTAAACCGAATGTAATTGTATCATATTCTGTTTGACGTGTTTGTGGCATCACATATTCAATCGACCCACTTGCATAATGTTTGCCGAAATAGAATCCATTCGGTACTAAACATTAATAAACAAAAAAAAAGATCTTCAATCAGTTTTCAATGAAAGCTATTTCCGATTTACTTTTATCACATCGTTCACCAATATAACTCGTCTCCAGACAATCACATCGTGGTCCATCGTTATCATTCGTCGAACATATACCCGAGTGAACACATGTGAAATCGTAACAGAGTTTGTTCAAATCTAAATCAATCAAAGACAAATCCGGTTTTATCTGTCATTCAACTCTCGCTCAATGATATGGAAGAGTGCGTGATAAACAAGTGGAGATATACATGACATAGGAGAAGGAAAAATCACGATTTTTTATACAAGGGAAGATAGAGGGTGTCTAGAAGAAGCAAACAATAAACTTACCTGTATTCATATTAGACGATACACTTGCAGAAATTGCTAGAAAAGGGCAATTATACGTATTTTTGTGACTGAGTCGATTTCGATACGAAAAAGAAAATATTCGATGTGTTTTCTTCTGATGCAGACAGGAAAATGAGGAGATCTATGATGAAATTTACCTGAACAAACATTCATTTTCACTTGTCCGTTTAATACCAATGCGCGTTGGTAATCAAGCAATCGGCCATCAACAACGAAACTTGCTAAGCATCCTTGAAATCCATGTGGGTTTAAACCTGATCCGGTTAAATTAATCTGGTTATTATTCGGAATTCCACCCACGTAGAGAACTGGCTGAAGAGACACAGCATTTCGAATACCGTTGGCCGATAATGTCGAACGATTGACACGATTATCGACAACCAATTCAATTCTGAAACGAAAGAAAAGTTTAATTGAATAGATCAACGCATGAAAGTCATTTGTTTAATCGACTGAAGATGGCATATGACCGTTGACTGTTCGATAAAGCAGAAATAACAAGATTAGTACAATATCTGTCCTTGACTAACGGCTCTCGAGAAGAGTAGAACAAAAAGGATGACGAGGTTAAGGTACTTGAAAGTCTTCTTTTTCATTCAAGATAAAAATAGCTTTTTGCCATCTGTCTTTCTCGAGTATGACAAAGATCTCTTCACATCCTGATCGACGAAGAAAAACGATGATTTTTAAATCAAAAACTATCCAATTCACTCGAATACTTCATTGTCAAAAAGACTATGTTTCGTCGAAATCAAATATCTTTCAGCGGATCATTTAAGTTTCTCTACACTCAAATATGTAGATGAAAAGTACTTCAATGGAATTGAAAGCCTAATTCAATCTAACTATGCACTTGCATTTACATATGTAATATCTGAAGAAAGACAAAACTTGTCTGAACTTCGAAAGATTAAGTTTACGTACTTATCTGTACCAATTCTTGTAATTCGTACTTCATGCCATTTACCATCGGCTAATTTCGTTGATTCATCGCTAACAATTTGTCGTTTGCCAAACCCAAAGTCGATGAACAACGCGAGAATACCCGCGCGTAAGCCAATAGCGAAGTATTCATTCAATCCCTGAGCATAGCGATAGAGAATGATTCCGTCGGGTACATACGAACGAAAGAGAAAATAGATGTCCAATTTGCCATGATTTTTGTTCTGATTCTCGCGTTCCGAAAAGGCAATGTAAGATTTCGGTGTATCAATAGTAACAAAGTTGAAGAATGCAATACGATATCCAACAACGGTATGCTGACTATCATAATCATATCGCGTTACTCGCGCTTGTTTCGGTTTGCTCAAACTTTGAAACAAATATTCATCATTAAACATCAAATCACTCATATAGCCGACGAATGGTTGAAAGATATCTGAACTCAATCGGCGTGTATCTCCAACTAACAGAGCATTGATGTTCCAACTCGAGACCACATAGGTGGGGATTTGTGCTAAAACAAAGGGAATGAAGACAATGACGAATGTCGAGGCTTTCTTTCGTTACATGTCCGACTGTCATTGTCAACAACAACAGTGAAGATTCCGCTTTGATCGATTTCGAATTGTAACCAGTGCCAATTGTCATTATTAATATTTTTTCCACATTGAATTGCCTAGAGACATAGAAGAAAACGAGCTCGTTATCGAAATCTTCGATGATTTCATTCCAGGTGTATGAATGTGGTTAAAGTCCTTGGCAACAGGAAAAAATAACACTTCAATCTTTTTTTTTGTTCGTTCATGAACATCTATGCACATCATTACGATGAGAGATATCATTATTATTATGGTACTCCGGTCGAGTTCCCCCCCCCCCTCGTTCATCATTGTTCCGTATCTTGTGTCAGATGGATTGTTAATCAGAAGAGAAATAGAGGAGAAAAAAAAAAGAGGTCGAAACGGGAGAAGGAACTCGGCAAAAATGCAAATGATCATTGTGCTGTCTTGTTCATTGAAGCATGAATGGTTGGAACATTGAAATTAATGAAAAAAGAGATTAACATTGTCTTTCGAACGGAAATGTTTGAAGATGAGAAAGATGAATGCACACATTGCGAGGATAATATTACTTTCTCCTCGTAGAACAATTGATTTCAGGTGGTCGACTTACCGTTACAGTAGATAAGACTTTTCTTTCATCTAATTGAAGAATTGTTATTTCTATTTTTCCATTTGAGTGTTCAATAATAATGAATGGAATTATCAGTGAGGGAGATTTTCGATGTGTTAACGAAAGCAACACACCATTCGAGATTCGACCTAGTGTACGAAAACGTACAGATAATCGTAATGGATAATCGAGAAATTCTTGATAATGATAGTCAATAAATGCAGATGAATTGAATGTAACGATTATTGATGAATCTACATCTGGAAAGAAGAAGAAGAAGAAGACGTTGAATAGAAGAGATAGTGTGAATATGTTCGATTTACCAGATGAAGACGAGTCTTTCACACGACGTTTAGTCTTTGTTTTAACATTGTGACAGTGATTTACACTGATTTGTCGTCGATCGATTATTTGCTGATTCGATTTGGATGAAAATGTCACTAATGAATTGTTTTGATTATAATCAATTAGAAGTTCAGTTTTTGATGAGAAGACTATTTGATCGATATCATTTGGGACGAAATAGATGCTATGATGTTCATTAGTAGTGATTATTGTCATCTGACATTGTTCGATTGTAAAACATCGTGATGTCACAGATGTAGTTTGATTCGTATTGGCAACCGCATTAATAACAAATTGAAAAGGACATTTTTCACATAGCTAAAAGGAATCAAATCCAATCATGAAATGACTTTAACTTTCGAAATACTAGATGAAATCATCTAATGATTAAAATGTTTGATACGAAGGTGGTATTATTCATATAGCGTTCTTGAGTGGTTGCTTAAGATGTCTGAATTACTTTCGATGGTTTTCTTTTGTTCATTATAATTACCGATAGAACAACCAGTACAGTTAGCAATGCATAAGATCGGTTAGGTGATTAATCTCATATAAACGCATACGTCATAGGCAAATATAGGTGAAAACTTCATTAGATCTCTGATGTGAAAATAATAATAGCAATCGTCCTTTTTTTTTTGTTTTGTTTTTCTTTGAAAAAAATATGAACATCAGACGATATTTACATGTTGGTAATATAGTTAATAGCTTCACTGCCTCAAGCGTACATTGGACAGATTGAGAGCGAACATCACTCGGATGAAGGCCTCTTAGTCTTTAAATAAACGTTTGTCATGTGAATTTTCCCCTCTTTCTTTTATAAATAAAACTATAACACGAAAAAAGCCTCTAACTCCTGAACAAAACCATTCTTTTACAGTATCATCTAGTGTGATCGAGCATAAGTAACACATCATCTAATCATACAATGACAAATACTTATGAGTATGTCTTCTCGGCATGTGTCTATATATACTACTCAAAGAAGCAAAAGAAAAGAAAGGTAGTGTGCGTTATTGAGAATGAAATAGCCGACTGCGGACTCCTCCCTATCATCATCACACCTAGATGAACTTGTCACATATATATATAAATGGAGTTATATGTGCTTACTTCTGTACTTTGACCGTATATGACAGAGATGAATACAAGTATGAATACAATACGACTGTATTGCATAGTCGGAAGATTTTGTTGTTGTGATTCGTTTGAAATTTATGATCTAGGAGTCATTTCCGGTGGATTTTGCATTTTTTATTTCTAAATATAAAAAGAAAATTACATCGATGTCATGACCATTTATACATCTTTCGAATGAGAAGAAATCACATTTGTAAAACTTTTTTGTTGAATTCATCGTCAGTGAAGTGTGTTGATTCAATGCTATTCTTATGTTGTCATAACGGTAGAAATAGATTGATCATTGAAAAAAAAACAACAATAACATATTTGACAAATCTTTTTCTAAGAACGTCTTATTCTTCCTTTCACTCTCTCTCT